ATATCCTTTTGACTTTATATTATTTTTGTTTATTATTTGTTTTTTTGTTTTTGTTTTGCTAGTTCTCTAAACTCACACGGGCGACAAAGTGTTGGGTCGTAGGCTAAATGGGGGCGTGGTCAAATGTTTTTTGTTTTGTTTAAGATTTACCTTTGCTTGGATGGAATCGCAGCTGAAGGCCAAAAGTTGTTTAACAATTTCAATTTGCTCTTGTTCTTATTCTTGTGGAACATTTACCAACACTTGTCGCACTTTAGCTAGTTATCGATTTACAATTTGATCGATTTAGTTTTTTTTGTTTTTTTTTTGTTTTTGTTTAATTTAAATTTAAAAACAACATCACTTGGTTTCACGTTTGATTTGAATTGCGTGTTTAAATTTTTTACAACGAGTTTTTGTTTTTTGTTTGTTTTTGAAAGTTTTTGAAACTTTGAAGTTTGAAACAAAAATACACACATACATACATATATATATAAATGTATAATCGTGTTAAACAAAGAGAAGAGAGGCAGCTGCCAGGCTATGTCTATATGTATTTATGTATATAAAAGAATATGAATAAGAAGAAGAAGAGTATTCAGCTAACTGATCCACTGCCCTAACTAATTAGTTGTAACACAGATTAATGCACTGGTAAAAAGGGGACTTAAGGGGGGTAGGCATGGAGCAGCCCCGAAATGGGCGAGAAAGACGAAGGACGAGAGCTGAGACTCCAATTGGAGCAGGAATCGAGCCAATCGGAGTCAGATCTGCATCTGGTTTTCAGGGCTGCTCACGCTTGCATTGCGGCCACCCGTCCGGCAACGTGTCCTAGGAGGACTCGTAGCCGAACCAGGCGGCCGACGAATGCTATTCACCACCCGCACCGCCGCCGCCAAAGCTATTGAAGTGACGCACTGCACCCGGCGCTGCGGCCGCACCGAACTGCAGGCTCAGCTCGAAGAGGCGACGGGCGTGCAGCTGCTGYTGCTGCTGCTGGTGGTGATGGTGCTGCTGGTGATGATGGTGCTGGTAGTGATGGTGCTGATGCAATGCCGCCGCCGAGTGGGCGTTCAGATTGAGATGGCCGCCCAGCACACTCGACGCCGATCCCGGCGAGGCGGCGCTCGGCGGCTGCAGCGGCAGGCCGCTGTTGCTGCCGGCGCCGGGCGACAGCTGGGAGCTGCTGCTGCCCTGCGTCTGCGACTGCAGGTGCTGGGCGTGGGGATGCTGCAGCTGATCGCTGGTATGGAATAGATGCGGATGATGCGCGGGATTTAGATGCGGATGCTGGTGCGGATGATGGGCGGCATGATGCGCATGCTGATAGCGCATCGGGTCCATGTACATGGCAGCTGCTGCAGCGGCTGCTATGCTGGACGCCTGTTGCTGTTGCTTGACTTGCTCCTCGTTGTTATTATTGTTGTTGTTGTTATTGGTGCTGTTGTTGTTATTATTGTTGTTATTCGTCTGACCATTAGCGGAGGAGCTGCCCAGCGGACTCTGCGGCGACATCACCTGACCCTGACTGGTCATCGTCACCGAGGAGCCCGCACTGGATGAGGGTGTATTGGGCGTGTGTTGCTGCTGCTGCTGCTGCTGTTGTTGTTGCTGCTGCTGCTGCTGCTGCTGTTGCTGCTGTTGCTGTTGCTGCTGTTGGTGTTGCTGTTGCTGTTGGTGTTGCTGCTGTTGTTGTTGCTGTTGCTGTTGGTGCAGACTGTTTGCAGGAGTGGACGCAGCTGCAGCTGAGTTCGACTCCTGGATTTCTGATTGCTAGTGAGCCGCCAACTGGTGAGCCGACTGCATGTTCTGGGGGCTCAGCATAGGCGGGCTGTGGCTGTGCGAGTGGTTGCCCATGGGGCTGCCGTGCATGTCGTGGTGCGAGTGGTAGCCACCGTGGTGCATATGTCCCGGTGGCATGCCGTCCATCATGTCGCCGCCGAGCGTGTTCGGTGGCGTCATTCGCTTCTCCTTCTGACGCCGATTGCAGAACCACACGCGCACCACCTCCTTCTCCAGCTGCAGCGAGTCCGCCAGCGAGGTGATCTCCTGGGCCGAGGGCTTTGGCTGCTTGTGGAAGTGCTGCTCCAAGGCGCCCTTAACGCTCACCTCGATGCTCGTGCGTTTCTTGCGCTTGCGTCCCTGTGCGGCGATCTTGTCGATGCTCGTCGGCGAGCCCGTGGTGGAGTCGGCCTCCTCGAGCCACTTCTGCAGCAGCGGCTTCAGCTTGCACATGTTCTTGAAACTTAACTGTAGAGCCTCGAAGCGACAGATTGTCGTCTGGGAGAAGACGTTGCCGTAGAGCGTGCCCAGGGCGAGGCCGACGTCCGCCTGGGTGAAGCCGAGCTTGATGCGGCGCTGCTTGAATTGCTTCGCAAACGCCTCCAGATCATCGGATGTGGGCGTGTCCTCCTCGCCACCACTGATCGTGTCACGATCCCCACCACCGCCGCCCATGTGATGTGGTATATGCAACTGCGGCGACTCGCCGCGCAGCGCATGATGCAGCGGCGCCACCTGATGGTGGGCCGGATGGTGGTGCAGCATCCCGTTCATGGCCGCGTGATGGTACTGCAACGGGGAGCCGCCCGTGGACGCATAGTGGCCGGCGTGTGGTGCATGCCACGGCGCCGCAGCATGTGGCGAGGCCATGCCCTGCTGGATGCGCGTCTGTTGGGACAAATGTGACATCTCCTGCTTGACGGAGTCAACGGCTGCGACGGCGGCGGCGGCGGGATGATGGTGCGTCGTGTGATGTGTGGGCAGGGACCACGGATCCGGATGCAGGGCGCTCCAGCTGCCCAGCCCCGAGCCCGGCGTCAGGCCGCCCAGACTGTTGCCCTGTTGCACCTGCCCGTTGGGCGATGGCGACGATGGCAACTGCTGTTGATGGTGTGAGGCAGCGGCAGCGGCAACGGCAGCATGATGATGGTGGTGATGCTGCATGTACTTCATTTCGCCAGCATCGGCGGCCGAGCGGGGCGAGGATGTGTGATAGCCACCACCGCCGCCGCCACCTCCGCCGCCGCCACCGCCGAGGGCCATATCTAGATCACCGCTGGGCGGTGTCATATAGGAGGTAGCGGCCATCCCCACCGCTCTGGGGCTGTTCAGGCCCTCCACGCTGGCGGGGTAGGGCTCCAAGTTGGGGCTCAGTTTAACGACTTTGTAGACCGATCGATCGAAAGGAAGACCTGAGTCCCTATGCTCATTCCACTCGAACCGTGAGGCAACCGTTTTGAAGTCTTTTACTGGCAACGTGGCTGCACCAAAAATTGTGGGCGTGGCGGCACGCAACACACTCGCTCAACACTCAACACACTGAACACTCGCAACACACTCAACAAGTTTCGTCACCGACGGCGCGACGAACAAATTTGTGTTTTCAATTTCTTGCGATTTTTCTCATTTGTTGCGCAAAAAACTTTTGTTTCTTCTTTTATTTCTTTGCTCAATTTATTTAATTTTTTATGTTGCGCAGTTTTTTTTATTTATTTATTTTTTTTTTTCTATAATTTTGTTTTGTATAAATTTCTTGTTTTGTTATTGTTGCACTTTGTGGCTTGATTTAAACACTTGGCACTATTTCTTCGTTGTTGATTTGTTGTCGATGTTGTTGCTGTTGTCGTTGTTGTTGCTGATGTTCTCGATGTTGATGTTGCTGCTGCGATTGGTGTTGTTATTTTGATTGTTGTCGTTGTGTAGTCACAAAAACACAGAACGAAATTACATCAACTATTCAGATCTCGAGAATCGGCATTCAGTATTGTGTTTGAGATTTTGTTTCAGCTTGCGGATCAGCTTTGAGACGCCAGAGACAGCGCACATAATAATAATAATATATACTATAAATATACACACTGAGAGACGGCAAGCCCAGCAGACACGCTATAGAGAGCCTATGGGACAAATTCACGTGCAAACTCGTAGAGCTATCGAAGTGAACTAACGTCATGCAGCGGCCAGCGGCGCTACGTAGACGGCGCTCTCGCCGCTCGACAACAACGACGGCACACACACGCACACGAACGAGCGAGCGCACACAGCGCACAGCACACAGACACACAAGTACTCACACACTCGCACGCACGTACACAGTTATCGTGGCGAAACCAGTTTTCAACCCGTCTTCCAATGCGCCATGCGCGCAAGCGAGACGCTTAACATGGTAACCACATGTATGTTGCGCGTGCGAACGAGATGGCCTGTGAGAGCGCATGAGACTGGAAGTCGACTTGCGCTCTATTGGGCTCGCTGTTCGCTTTCCAGTGCCGCCCACCAAACAGGCAAGCGGCAAGCAGCAAGCAGCGTCGCATTCCCATGCAGAGTGACATTTTTAATTGCCAGCAGCAGCAGGCCAGCAAGGGAGAGCGAGAGCGCAAGAGGCGCGCGCGCACACAGGCCTCTGTCAGACGGGAAAAGCTTTTCGCACAGGACTGCGGCCGCTACAGGAAGCTTTGTTCAGTTCGCTGTCGTCGCTCTTTGGGCTGCCAACTTTTGCTTTCATTTTGTTGGTGTGCGAGTGAGCGTGTGCTCGACTGTGTGTGAGTGTGTGTGTGCTTGTGGGGCGTGTGCAATGGCAACACTACAATGGGGCGGGCAATGCAACTCACTACGGACTACTGGCAACGGGCAACGGGCAGCGAGCAACGGACAACGGGCAAATAGGCAAACGGGCGAACGGCATCGGGCAAACGCTATCTCCGATATCGGAGCATCTAACGCGTCCGAGAACAACTGTAAAATCAGTCGCACATTAATTGAAATGTATCGCGGCAATAAATTTGCATGCAAATGTTACAATGTTTCAATCTTCGTCCAGTTTCCAGTTCGCAGCTTTTGTTATGCATATCTGTCAGTTACTTTCAAAGAAAGGCCCATTGTCTATGTGTGCCTATAAACGGTGTCGGTGTGTCGCTGTATGCGTGCGTGCGTGCCTAAGTGTTTCTGTGTGTGGGTTGCTTTCTGTTTTGGTACTCGTGCTTAGTTTACCGTTAGGCATTCTCCTTGCTAGTTATTGATTTGCAGAGAGTGTTAATTTTGTTGTTTCTTTCCGCTGTTATTGATTTTCCATTTAACAGTATTTGCACAAATACGCGCCATTTGCCAGCTCCCAGTTGCCATTTACCATTTGCCATTTGCATAGCTGCGATTTGTATGTAAACAGAGTTGAACTTCTTTTGTGCGTTCTCTCTATCTATCGCTATCTCTCTCTCCATCGCCCTTAGACAGCCTTTGTCTGTGGCTGTTCGAGTTTTGATTTAGTAGAGCTGCACAGATAAAGCGCGCTTTGTAAACAGTTTTTATTTTGGTTTCTGTTTCGGCACAATAGAGCAACAGTTCATCAGTACACTGCACAAAAATCCGCAACACTTGTGACTTGATGAAATCTGGACTTTTATCTGCTGCAAAGTTTACTTCCAAGTTGCGGGAAATTTGCAAACTAATCTAACTAATTACTACTAATTAGAAGCAGTTATTAAATACGTCTGGCGATAGTTAATACGCAGCGTAATCTATTTATTATCTGCTAACGGCTTTAAGCATCGCCTATATTTATTGTAATTTTATGCATTTAATTATATTTTCTTTTTTAATTTATAGAACGGTTCCATTAGTTTCTTTTAGCATTTGTATATATGTAACAAATGATTTTTCTATAAGTAAAATAAATTGAACTGTCACATCTATTTTAAAGAGTTTTCCTTATTTTCTCACTTTAATACCATCTCTTTCATATTCTCCGTCTCTCTCTCTCTCTCTTCAACTATTTTTGCGGCAGGTCAAGCGTTCAGTTTGTGTCCAAAATTATGCAAACTAAGGTCAACGCCATGCACAACAACCACACACACACACACTGGCACACACATCGCCAAGTTGAACAATATTTGCATCACTTTGTTTACATTCTGTTGTTGTTTTTCAAAATTTCTGTGTCCTTTGGCCACACACTTGGGCATAATTAATAAGCCGCAGAGCGAGAGCTAAGCGAGTCAAGTTGTGTCAGCCAAACGCGGGTAGCCACAGAGCCGCGGCTCACGCTCCTTGGCCAAATTTACATGATAATTAGGCGACGGCGTTAAAATATAAAAAAACAGAAGAAAAAATACAAATACAGAAAAAAATATATTTAAATTTCAAATGATGCTAAAAATCCTGTTTAGCTCGCCGTCCCCCCTCCACCGCAGCCCTAGCCTGGACGTATGCTAAATGCGCACGCGCCGCGCTGCCTGAAAAGGACTTGTTGCATAATTATGCGAGTAAATGAGAGAGAGAGAGAGGGAGATAGAGAAAAAAAAAACATAACTAAGCGCTGTATTTATGAATGAAGATCTCTCCCTCTCCCTCTCTCTCTCTCTCTCTCTCTCAGTCTGTATATTCCTCTGCCTTTTGATTTGGATGATAATGAGGCGCGATTAGCATTTTGACTGCATTCGTTTGGGTTTCGTAGCCGGCGCACTTGCTTATAATTATTAGCATAATTGTCTTCTTATTTTGCATTATCTGGTGTTGTTATTGTTGGTGCTCCTTACACACACGCACACACACACACGAAATGACAACGAAAATCGTATATGAAATAAAAATATTTGCCAACTGCTCGTTTGTTTTCGTTTTTTTGCAAATTAATTTGATCATCGCTTTGAAGACCAGATTTAAACTGGTCTCGTTGTCTGAGGGGCGCAATTAAGGCGCGGGAGTCCATAGAAGCGAACCGAGCGCCTAATTGTGGTCTTATTTAACGCTTAAGTGTATTCAAATCAAGCGAATTTATTGAGTAGCTATAAGAATTTTAAGTATTTAAGCGCAAATATGTAAATCGAAAGCGCTTAATATATATATGTATATGTAAATCTATCGTAACTCAGCATTAGCTAAACATATTTGAAGTGCCTCGGTGCCAATGAACCTCGCATACAATATTGAAGCTGCAAGTTGATAATCTCATTAAATTAGCATTATCATACAATTCCCTTGGCGTACTTAATAATACTATATAATAAAATATATAAGAAATTGAAAATTTGTATTTTATCAAAAATCAATAAATTTTCATATGGAAATTTATTATGATTCAGCTTTAAGTATATACATTTATTTGAATAATTCAGAAATTCAGAAATAGAAATGAATGTTAATTTAAAATAAAAATAGCTTTATTCCCTTACCCTTAAAAATTTAATATCACTTAGTTTGCTTAAAAAATAAGAACCTAACTTAAACATATCTTAGTTCTGACTTAAAAGTATTCATTGAATTTGATGATTTTGATTTCGTTAAGGTCCCAATTTCTCTAGTCTATCTATCTATCTACACTCTATATTTCACCAGCTTTCCCTTATATTCTCTTACATGTTCCTTATACAGTTTTTCTTCAGCTCATATACATTTTTAATTCTGCGTGATTTCATTTTCATTGCCAAAACAAAACGTTTCATTAGCTTATGTCAAAATACAGCTGCAATTTTCGTTGAGCTCGACGGACAGATACAGGCACAATATGAAACCCATCCCAAAGAGACAGTCGTCGGTCAACTCTTTACAAAAAGAAAACAAGAATAATTGCGCGCCAAAAAGTAGCACACACGCGCAGATATACAGGAAGATATAGAGGAAGCTACCCATAAGACAACCAGAACTCTAAGACAACCCTTCCTCGCCTTTGCCTGCCCTGCCAGGCAAGGTCAGAGCCAGCGGCTTCACATAGGCAAATCGCATAGGCAAATTTGCTCGAGACAGCGAACTTCTTAAGCTGCTTTATCCTTTTGCAGTGTTTTGGTGGCTCTCCCCTCGTCCTGCGTGCTGCAAGCAGCCATTTATCATTTTTTGCCGTTTCGCATTTTGAAATTTGTGCAATTTTTGCGATTTCTGCAATTTTGCATGCAAGCCGGGCCAGGCCAGGCTAAGCTGGCTGCAATCAGGCTGCGTCGCGTATCCTTTGGCCTTTATCCTTTCACTTTCGCTACCTACAAGCACCCCAAATGTTTGCCAAATTCCAATACACACACACACACACTCGCAGGACTCGCTGTCATATGCAAATTAGCAGAGCCTAAAAAAAACGTTAGAGCACATTTTTTTGCGTCCCGCCAAAAAAACAACATAAAAACTCAAATGGCAATTGTTGTTAATGTGTGTGAGTGTGTGTGTGTATACGTGTTCAGGACGAGGTCCTGCGCAACGGCATCTAAATGCATTTCGGTGCGCCTCATTGGCTCTGGCATTGAGCTCAACTGTCAATGCGACCCAGGCAAAGGGCAAAATATGCAAATTAGTTAGTGTTGTTCTCTTCCTCTTGCTCCTCCTCTCCTCCTGCTCTCTTTTTATTTATTAACTAATTTATCTCTGCGTCCCATAGGCAACCCGTCAGGGCCGTGAAATATCGCAAAATCCGCTTGCAACACCTGGCCACAATTCTATTTTCCCCTCCAGAGTTTTTTTTGCGCGGTTTTTTATTTTATTGCCTTGCCTTGCTATGTGTGTGTGTGGGGGGAGGGGGAAGCGTTGAGGTCGCTAAGTAGTTGAGCAAATAATCGAAGCTAAGCTGATGTGCCTTTGAAAGCTAGCGAAAAAGTGTTGTTGATTGTGGATTTCTGAAGGTGAATGGGAATGAAAGGC